CACAGTGCATTGTCCCTTCATATTTCTCAATAGGAAGTGGTTTCTTGGAGATCTAATCTGCAGTCTGAGGGAATTTTCCATTGAGGATCACCTAGTTGAATTCTTGGCCAGATTTTTTCAAAAGTTACTGGCACGAGATATGCAGTTTGGGCTTATCATATTCCTGGTTCCACTTGTGGATCCAGAATACGGCCTGCCTGTTAAAATTATTCAGTTTTAACAAGGTTCAGCTCAAGAATACTTGCTCTGCACAGCCACAGAAGAGGGAGCTTCACTGGAGCTCGGCCACCAGTAAAATTGTGTTATACTCTGATTATACAAAAGAGGTTTCAGATTCATGGAGACTGTTTTCAGAAGTGACACTTGCTGCATGAAAACCTGGTCTAAGATATTTTATTCAAAACATAGCAATTGTCTGTCTTACCAAGATCAACAGAAAAGTTATCAAAATCCTACTGCATTGGAATCATTGTTTTCTACCATAATGTAGTTTGCTCTGACTCTTCCACAGCTGGATCTACCTGAGAAGTTGATTTGGCTGCCTGTCAGCTTTGTGTTCAGGGTTTATCCTTTCTTGGAGAGCAATGATGAAGTTCTGAGTGTTTGGCCAGTTCTCATCCAGGGAAACAAAAAGGGCTTCTTGCATTTTAAGGTGTGCATGGGGGGGGGTCTTTATCGCTCACTTTTAACACATCTGTTATTATTGCTACATACTTTTCTTTTTATTAAAATTTTTTATCAATTTAAAGTATTTTAATGTTACTCAAGATAGGCTACATGCAATTTAAATTAACTTGTGGTAAGTGGATAAATGTTGCCAAAAGGAGAAAATGTAGATAAAATTATCAGTATTGATAAAATCTTGATAAAACGATCACCACGAGAGCCAGTATGGTGTAGTGGTTAAAAGCATGGGACTGGGACTCAGACAATCTGGGTTCTAGTCCCCGCTCAGCCATGGAGCCAACTGGGTGACTTTGAGCCAGTCACAGACTCTCAGCCCAACCTACCTCACAGGTTGTAGTGAGGATAAGATGGAGGAGGAGATGTAAGCTGCCTTGAGCCCTTTGTAGGAAAAAGGCAGGATATAAATCGAAAATAAATAAATACTATTTTTATTTCTTCTTAAATCAATGTTCCAAAATAGTTTGGGTTTTCCCCCCCCAGGATAATTTTCTTTTGTGTCTTTGCTTTTATTTCTTTTGTAGCCAGGAAAGACTTGGTTAGGCCAAAACAAAAAAATGCTTCAACCCTCTTCCCTGTATTTTATGTTTTTATCATTGAGTTGTGAGTTTAATTTTAAATGAATTTTCTTATGAGGGATGTGGGCACTATTTTGAGTTCTTCGAATTGCATTTATTCAGCTTTTATTTTCTGCTCTGTGTTTTAATTCTTTTTGAGTCTATAGATCTAGTATGGTTTAATATAAAAGATATTAATTCAAGTTTTGCACTGAAATGACTAAGGTGTTGTATCATTCTAGGGTGGGCAACCTGTGTAAAATTCCAAGAGTCATATGTGTAGAGGGATCATAGGTATGTTACATTGTTTTCAATGTTTAATGTGATTTTCTAGAATGCCAAGAAATTAGAATTTATATAGCAGAAGAAAGTACCTTCTATGTTGAAAGAGTTTAATGCTGGTGTTCCTTTTCCACAAGAAACACATTTGATGAACTTGCTGATCATTGGTTGAAAGAGAATGGTTGGAGAAGTTTACATAAAGATGCATCAAACTGGTTTGGAGGGGTTGTGATTTTAATCCACCAGAAGCTCTCTTTCCTATTTCAACAGGTGAGAACTGATCCTGATGGCTGCTTTTTGATTTCAATTAGGAAAATTGTAGTGGTAAAATCCTAATTATGATTAATGTGTCTAGGCAAAATAATGCTTTTCTAACTATGTTTCATTTTTGGTTGAAATTGCCAATGATCAGCTGTGGTAGATTTTAATATGATTGTAGATCCTGGGTTGGACCAAGGTATACCACCCCAACAAGTGTCAAGTAGCAGGGACACTTTCACACCAATCTAACATGTTTGAAATAGATTTGTTGGATATGCTTGAGAATTTTGCATCCTGGTCAGTCTGATTATACATTTATTTTACTACACCATCAGGCTTTCAAACAGGGGTTAGTTTCCTTCCTTCCTCCCTTCCTTCCTTCCTTCCTTCCTTCCTTCCTTTTTTGGTCTCTACATAGTTGATAAAATTGAACTGTTGATAAATTCAGACCATAGTCCAGTCTGTATGGAGTTGCAGTTTTCAGATTTGCCAGGGTCTCAGGGTTTGGTGCTTTAATATTTCACTTTTTAATAATGAAGTATTTAAAAAGATTACTGCTGAGTTTTATGAGTTTTTGAAAGTAATGAGGGCACTGTGGATTCCCATGCCAATGAGTGGGAAACTAGTAAATCTTTTATGTGAGGCCAAACCAATGCTTACACTTTATATAAGAAATTTTTAAAATTCCAACAAGCTTCATTAAAGAGGAGTTGAAGGCACTTACATCCCACTGTGCAATTTTGGCATCCACACAGTTCTATCAAGAATTACAACTGTTCAATATAAACTGAATAACATTCAATCACAACAGGCAGAATTGGCTGTTTATAACTGGCTTATTGGAAGAATAGGGAACATTCCAGTAAAGACATCTTATCTTGAACAACAAAAACACTGAAATGTAATTGTCATGATTAAAGATGAAAGTGACAAGATATACGCAGCTCCTGAAGAAGTAAATTTACAATTTTAAGGTTTTCTTTGGCTCTGTAAAGGTAATCAAAATATCTCAACAAAATATAGATACAGTTTTTTCACAGCTAGATCTTCCAGCTGCATATTCCAAACAATTGCAGTTTCTTTAGGCTCCTGGATGAGTGGAAGAACTTACTATGACAAACAGAAATATGAATTCCAGGAAATCACTTGTTCCACTTGAGTGGTCTAAAAAACGTTTCCAGCTTCTTAGCTTTAAAACTGCTTAGTTTATATTCCTATAACTTTTAATTACACTCATTGTTAAAAATGGCTATATTACAATGATTTCTAAACCTTGCAAGGATCACGTTTACTGTACTAACTATTGATGCATCTCATTAATGTTGCCAGCAAAATACTGAATGCAATTTTGGCCAATAGATTGGAATATGCTATTACAACACTAGCTTGACTAGAACAAGCAGAAATTAAACACCAACAGAAGACCAATAAATCTCAGATTGCTAATTGACTTCATTGCATTCAATTCTGACAGAAAAGACCATCCATTTTTTTGATGCTTGAAAAGACCATTGACAAAATTCATTGAATATTTATATTTGCAGCTCTGATATATTCTGATTCTCCTGCTGAATATCTGAAATGGCTTAACATTTTGAATTCAACCCTGATAGACAATGGGTTCTTCTCAGACCTGTTTTTCCCGACTTGGGACAGCAAGCAGACAGAGATGCTCACTTTTCCCACTATCACCTGTTTCCAATCTCTTTGTGCAAGTTCATGTTCTCTGCTGTTCTACTTATTTGGTCAAGTCTTCATCTCCCCCCCCCCCCATCTCCCTCTGTCTCAGTCTTTTAAGAAAGCCTTCTCACTTTCTTGACACTGCTCATTAACTATGTCAGTGAACTCTAGGAGTTGGTGCTATTTTTCCTAACCTGTAATACACACTCTATCTCAATACTTCTGTAATTTTGACTGAAATACATTGGGCTACTTTTCCTACTGAATGACATGGCTGTACATTTTAGATATACTTCTTTGTATTGTAATGCAATTATGCTTTGTAGAGATCAAATTGTATTATCTTTTTCTAAAAAAATATTGTTTATCTACACCACTTCATGTATTCCAATTGATCAGTTACAGTGGTACCTTGGCTCACAAACGCCTCAGTTCACAACCAAATCAGGTCACGAACAAAAATTTCATTTAAAAATTGACTTAGGTCGCAAACTCTGCACTGGGTGGTGGCCGCGATCATGCTGGGGGCGGGGCGGGGGAGATGGCCCAGATCGCACCCGTCTTTCCTGCAGGAGTGCAACCGTGATTGCGCCCATCTTTCCTGCATGAGCGCAACTGCGATCTTTGCTGTCTCTCCCCCAGCACGCCTGCCCCCCCAGTGCGCCCACATTCGTGCCTGTCTCTCCGCCCCCTCAAGCGCTCCGGGATGACGGGTGCATGCAGGGATGACAGGCACAAGGAGATGGCTGCGCTTGTACTCGGGATTGGGGGGGAGATGGCCGCGATTTTTGTTGTTCTTTGTCACTTTGCTTCACATTTTTCTGATTAAAAAAAATTGTTACAGAACAGATTAACCTTATTTACACAACCTTATGGGGAAATTTAACTTGGCTCATGACCAATTTGGGTCACAACCAGAGTTCTGGAACAGATTAAGTTCGTGAGCCAAGGTACCACTGTCCTTCCTCGTTTTGACCTTAGATATATTTTCTGCCTTGCTTGACATGACCCAGCTTTATCAATGAGCCTCTCTTCTACAGTCAGCTTTCCTTGAACCTTGAGCTAGGGCAGGATAGGACCTATTTTTTCCTCTCTCCTTTGTTTTCTCTTCCTTTCACCATCATTTCTCTAAGGCGAGCTGAAGTCAACACTGCAAGAATAAAATTGGGTGTACTTATGGTATAACAGAGAGCTAGCCAGGAAAAAGACTATGCACACATTATAAGCAGCAATGATCCATCATTTCACTTTCAGCTCTAGAAAAACTTATTGCCTGTCTTCAGTTTAGGTGCCTTTCAGTGTCACACTAAGTTGCTGTGAATTGAATTCTAGCAATTCTTAGAAATCTGTGGCTAAGAAAATAAACAAGCACAAAAACAGATGTTATAAACCAAGAGAAATGAGAAATTCCTAAATCATACATTGCCTTCAAAAAGAATAAAAGAATTAGAGCAAGCAAAAATGGCCTTATGCTTAGATACTTGAAATTATCACAATGATGCTTGACAATAGGAAAGATAAATCATTAAAATGTACCTGTGAATAGCCAATAATCTCTCCATTTTCATCCAACACATTAAAATTAATTATTGGTCCCTGGATATCTGGGCTGCTGAAATCCGTATCACTGTAAATGCGTACAACAGGTGCTCCATTAACGTATTTTAATGCAGAGAGAACTGTATAGGTGTAGTGTGCTAAAGCGAACGAATGTTGCTTTATGTTCTCCATTCCACCTGAAAAAGGAAGGAAAGGGGAAATCAGACAGCTACTTGTTTTGGTTTAATCAATTTCAGTGGAACACTGAAAATCTCCTATAATCAATCCACACCTTTTTCTTTTAAACAGCATTTTCCAGAAAAAGTCACAGTAGCCCTATGTGTTTTCTCAGTAAAAATGGACTTGCTAGGTCTCTGCTGGTGACTTGCTTATGGGAAAGAACCCTCACAGATCAAGCACCAGACACAGAATTTTCACATTGTCTTACACAATCTCAAAATTCTTTTCAGTTGACAGTTCACATGTTCAGGTACAAATTGATATGCATATTTCCTGGCTTATATAAGCCCAGCTATACAAAAACATTTGTGCTGTTTGGTATCTCGAAAATAACTCTAATGAACAAACCCCAAACCCTTTTAAAATAGCTATTATAATAAATACACATTATATCTTCCCCATATAGCTAAAACCTAAGAATAAAAAAAATTAAACCTTGGAAAGTGAGTATATCTGAGATGGCAGCCTATTAAAGCAAAACTACACTATTGTTTCTATGAAATACAAACACCGCAAAAATAATTCTTTACCCACTATAAAAATAAAGAAATTCTCACAGAGAGGACCAGTTGCCTTACCGTTTATAACAGACTCTTCTGCACTTTGTGAACAGAAATAATTTGTGAACAGAAACCCAGTTAGCCTTCAAAATTCACATTTCTCCAAATTTTGCACAAAGTTCTTGAATTAAAAGGGGCATACAAAATGTGTATATTAGTGAAAATATGTTGTAAAATGCATTATATTAAGAAAATTGCTTGCAAAAACATCATGTAAGGCAACACTGTGTGCATTAGAAAACCAAACTTGCAGAAATTTGGAAAATGAGAAAGTGAGAGGAACTTTCACATATTCATCCAGTCCTAATTAAGATAGCTAAGGGTGCAATCCTATGCATGCTGGCTGGGATATGCTTGGAGCTGTACAGCTTCTTTCTGTTTAAACATACATAAGACTACATCCTTCACAGATACTGTTCTTTAGCAACTTTTCCCAGCACTGTGTTTATTATTAGTACTACTACATCAGATTTATATCCAGTCTTTTTTTCCTCTTGTTGAGGCTGAGAGTAACTGACCCAAATTTGTCCAGTGACATGCATGGCTATGTGGTGATGAGAAAACCAGTTCTGCCAGTTCTCCAGTCCTACAAGCTAACACCACATTGTGCTAGGATTGAAATACACTTCCAGTTGCATAAATATAAGGTCGTTTCCACTTCTACCCCCAAGATTTGAAATAAGACATGCTTTAAAAAACCATACTAAAGCTATTCTGTGATTGCTTTTCCCCCACATCTGCCACACATTTTTCTCATTCTTGACTTAATCTCTATAGGTGAATTAAAAAAGGGTCAAATATGTAATAGACACATACATCTGCTCTAAATTCATGTGTTCAGTACGTAGAAAGGCATAGTCACCCAGATCTAACTGAATATGTAATACCTTTTTGGTCTCTTCTCTCTCACTTCACAACCCCAGCCCTATATGATGGAAAGCAAATGCTTAATCCTCCCATTCAGGATGGCCTGCCTAGGCTGCATACAGAATGTTTTCAATTTTTATCTTAATGAACAGAAGGCTTTTAGAAATTTCCCATCCCATCTTATTTTGTTGACTAGCTAATTTGTTCTCCTTCTCTTATGGTCAATCTTTCTCTCTAAAGGTCTCCAAAAAGACATCTCAGGAACGATGGTCCTTGCTCAGTCATTAGTGTTTCCACATAAATATTTTGAAGAAATGCACAAAGAAAGAATATAGCCTAAATGGAGCCATTTTGTTTGCTTCAGAATATAGTCTGATTAACATGGCAATCAATACACAAAACCAGTGATGAATCAAAGTAACTGGATTGTTGATCTACAAGGCACAATCATCTCCCTGCATGCATACACTCACATAGTTCTGTACCTATTAACAGAAGTTTTACTATAAGTTGCAACTCCAGAACAGCTGGAGAAATAGGTCTTTTAAGCTATGAAGTTCAGCAACTTCACAAAATTGATCCTCCCTTCTTTCAGTGGTGAGTTCTTCTTTGGAAGATAGCCCACAATCTTACCCAAATTTCTTTCAATGTTCCACTCCCACATTCTGTCTGCAAGATCAAAAGGAACCTCCCTGCTCCCTCCATGTTGCACAAGCAAATTCTAAATTTGTAGAATACTCAGTTCTACCACTTTAACACTGTATGACCAAACAGATTCTAATCGTTCATAAAAACTTAGCTCTTAAAACTTGTATGCCCCCTCAAAAAGCTTTATTATATTCCTAGCTTTGATCACATTAAACCTTACTCCTTATTACATATTCATTGTATACAATTTATCTTAGAAACAATAATTAGAGGTGATAAAATTATAGCACACGGAACTTGGTACATGAATGTATGTTATCTCCAAAACTGTTCTTCCAAGGTATCAAAAAAGGAAAACTGGTTTCCATAATTTTACCAGGTTTCTTCCTTCTCACATCAGGTTTGTAAGACGATCATGCTGTCCTAAATTTAGTAAATGTGTGTATGTAGGGGAGAAGCAGTTTGTTATGCCAACTTATTTTTCAATAATGCACAAGTAATGCATTTAAGAGATATTTTGGAATATTTGCAAAATATTATTTATTTCAATTATAGCCCACCTTAACTCTTCTTGCAAAAAATTTAAACATTTTTGTTATAAACACACCTCTTTCAAAAGATATGGAAAGGCAGCACCATGTCATTTACTTACACACACACACACACACACACACGTTCAATGCTTAGTAGCTAATTTAGAATTGCTTTTTACAAACTGAAAAGTTCTAACATAAACACCTGACAAGAAGGATGATAACCAAAGATTCACAACAAGACTTCAAAATCCAACTTGTTATTCACAGAAGAATGCTAGATGAAAAGCAAATGGTTCAGGATTTCCACTCACTCATATTAAGCCTCTTATGCAATTCACTTCAAAGAGTCATTGAGATGTTGGCACAAAATGGTCGATTAGGCTAACCTGAAAAATGAAAGATGCTTTCTAAAAGAAATTCAGACTAGCAATCCTAGCTAGAAGTACAAGTGGAAGAATATAAAATTCATTTTTACCCATTTGACAGAAAGCAAGATCACATTTTTTGGTGCAAATGGATGAATTGGCCATGAGTTATACAAAGAAATATTGATGCTGACCTGCCAAAGACTAGGCATGGACAGCTCAGCAGTGCTGACATAGACAATAACCACCCATGACTGGAGGACTGTTCCATATACATCTACTGTACATTCTGTAGAGATTTATTGGACATAGAAGTACCTATAGAGAATCCACGGTTTGTTTTATTTTTATTTTATTTTAAAGCTTTTCTATACCATCCACTACCAAGGTCTCAGGACAGTCTTACAATAAAAAAGAGTGAAGCATAGCATCCAAATAGTTTTTCAATGTACAATAAAACCCCCACATTAAAATCACAATCAAGCCTTAAAATACTGGGAAAACAAAACGGTTTTGACCTGGTGCCAGAAAGAATAAAGTTTCAGTGCCAGGTGAACCTCTCTGGGGAGTGTATTCCATAACCGGGGCACCACCACAGAGAAGGCCCTTCTCCAGGTAGCCACCCTCCTAATCTCCTTCAAGGAGGACTCCCAAAGAAGGACCTCTGCCCCAGATCTTAAGGGGCAGGCAGACACATAGGAAAAGAGACACTCCTTCAGATATCCAGGTCCTAAGCCATTTAGGGATTTATAGGTCATCACCAGCGCCTTAAATTGGGTCTGGACTTCAACTGGCAGCCAGTGTAGATAGCAAATGAACAGCATTATATGTGTATACGATATAACATATATGCTATATGTCCCCATTAACATCCTGGTTGTTCTGTTCTGAACCAACTGAAGTATCTCGACCATCTTCAAGGGCAGCCCCACATAAAGCATGTTACAATAGGCCAGTCAGGAAGTTACCAGAGCATGGGTCACCATTGCTATGCACTGCTCATCCAGGTAAGGGTACAGTTGATAGATCAGCTGAAGCAGAAGGAAAGCACTCCTCATCACAGCAGCCACCTGGGACTCCAGGGACAGCTCTGGGTCGAGGAGCACTCTCAAACTGTGCATCCTGTCCTTTAGAGGGAGTGCAACCACATCCAGAACAGGGCTAAATCACTTACCTGGAAGGTTGAACTGCCTACCAACAGGACCTCCATCTTGTCTGGATTAGGCCTCAATTTGTTGGCCCTCATCCAGTCCATCAACCCAGCCAGACACCAGTTAAGGGCAGTCCCTGCCTCACCTGAATTAGATGTAAAAGAGAAGTAGAGCTGGATGTCATCAGCATACTGATGACTCAGCCACCCAAAACCTTGGATGACCTCTCCTAGCAGTTTCATGTAGATGTTAAAGAGCATGGGGAATAAAATGGAATCCTGCAGAACTCCATGGCAAAGCTGCCATGGTGCTGAGCCACAATCGTCCTAGCAGCACCTTCTGAAATTAGCCAGTCAAGTAGGAGTGTATCTACTGCAAAGCCGTGCCTCCAGCCTCCAACTTGGCCAGCCTATCCAGAAGAATACCATGGCCGATGGTATTGAAAGCTGCTGATGATATTGAAGGTCCAGAAGAACCAACAGGGACACACTTCCCCTGTTTCTCTCCCTGCACAGGTCATCATATAGGGTTATCAAGGCAGTTTCAGTCCCAGAGCTAGGCCTGAAACCATACTGGAATGGGTCCAGATAGTCAGTTTCCTTCAAGAGAGCCTGGAGTTGCCCGGCCACCACCTGCTTAAGCACCTTGCCCATGAATGGGATGTTAGCCACTGGTCTATAGTTGGTAGACATCTCTGGGTCCAGGTTCACCCTCTTCAGGATTGGCCTGATCACTGCCTCCTTCAAGGGGGTGGGGACTTGACCCTCCCTCAGTGAAGCATTAACAAGCTCCTGGACCCAGGTACACATCCTGTCCTTGGTCTTGATGAG